TTCCTTTCTTTCTCTTTCTGTTCCGGCAGGTCTGGGGCTGTTGATTAGTATCCAGCCCCACTCCAACTGTATGCATGTTGTTGTAATTTTAATATTTGTATTCTTATTTTTAAATTTTTTAATATATGTTTCATGTCTTGTCTGTAAGCCGCCCAGAGTCCCAAGGGGGTGGGCGGCATACAAATGTTAATAAATCTAAATCTAAATCTCTCTTTCTCTCTGTGTGTGAGTGTGTGTGTGTGTGTGTGTGTGTGTGTGTGTGTGTGTGTGTCTCAGTGGTGGGTTTCAAAAAAATTTGGAACCTATTCTGTAGGTGTGGCCTGCTTTCCAGGTCCACTAGTGGAACCTCTTCTAACCGGTTTGGTAGATTTGACGAACCGGTTCTACCGAACTGGTGCGAACTGGTAGGAACCCACCTCTGATCTAAAGGAAGCAAGAGGACAAAACCTGGAAGGAAAGATCAGTGCTAGGACTGAGAATCTCAGATTTAGTGAAGAGCTGCCATAAATTGATGCTGCCAAAAATACAGCTAGAAGAAAAGTCTTGGTAGTGAATTATTTTCAGTGAAGTAGCCCCACCTATCCAGTTTGTCATAAGATTTCTTGGCAGTGAAAGCTTTATGAGTTTCTTTGTCTGAAATGCTCCTTGAATGACAGTTGAGCTCTCCATGGTTTTGGTCCCTAGTGCGAACCTTCTAGTCCGTTTCTCTGTCTTAAGTCCTAATTTCTAACCAGTCACATAAAGATGCCCATGGCTTAGTATGACAGTGCCACAGACTTTCTTCTCATGTCTGTAAAGATGAAGGATACCACTATTTGTGTTGTTAGTCCCATATTTGCCTAGTAGCCACAGCATTGTGGCCCACCAGCAGCCAGAGGAGCTGGAAGCAGATTCAGACAGTGAGGAGGTTGGGGAGGAACATGGGCCAGTTCTGGAGTCTGGTGAAGGTGCTGATGAGGGCTCTGTGTCAGACAGAGAGGGGGCCAGGGCCTTCTGACAGTTATCAGCTGCCTTTGGAGTCAGGCATCGGTAAACCAGATGAACAGCTGGAGCCTGTTCCCAATACGCGCATGCGCAGAGTTGCCAAATGAAGGGAACAGCTAAAGAACAGGGGTCAACTTAGGAGTAAGGCCAGAGGTGGACGGTGAATGGCCCCTCCCAGAGGAAATAAAAGAGGAGCGAAAGGCAAATGGAGACAATTACTTCGCTTAATTGGTTCATGGCTCTCGAAGACTCCTTGCCAAGTTTTTGCTGGATGTGAATGAGCAGAATTCACAGTCAATTATTAAAAGGGTTTTTTGTCGGGACCAGGAGTTTGCTTCATGCTCTTGGGAAGCCTCAGTCAGAACACACAGTTCCATGGAGGGTTCAAGGAAAAGAAAAGCAGTTTCACTCTTTCAGAACCTTGGATAGAAGGAATCAATCAATCAAAATAGTGCTGGAAGGGACCTTGGATGTCTTCTAATCCAATCTCAAGCAGGAGACCCTATAATATTCAAGGCAAGTGGCTGTTCAATCTTTTCTTAAAAACCTCCAATGATGGATCACCCACAACTTTTGGACATAAGCTGTTCCAGTGGTTAATTGTCCTCAATTGTCTTCCTGTTAGGAAGTTTCTCCTTAATTCCAGGTTGCTTATCTTCTTGATTAGTTCCCATCCATTGCTTCTTATTCTGCCTTCAGGTACTTTGAAAAATAATTTGACCCCCTCATCTTTGTGGCAGTCCCTCAATACTGGTATGCTGCTATCATGTCACCCCTAGTCCTTCTTTTATCTAGACTAATCACATGCAGTTTGATGAAGTCAAGCTATTTGCAGTCATGCCCTATCCCTCATATCAGTTTCCATTCTTCTCTTTTTACAACTCATAGTATATTTAACCCTTACCTCAGAAACTTATTCAAGTCCCCGTGCTTCATATATTCAAAGACCATGATGAGTGGATCTCCGTCACCACAGACACCATAGAATTTCACAATATGGTCATGCTGCAGGTTGGTGAGCAGCTCTGCCTCCCTCTGGAAGTCCTTTCGAGCAGCCAAAGTTGGGTCCTTGAGAGCCTAAAAAAAAAAAAAAAGAAACCAGAAGGATGGATGGATGGATGGACAGGCAAGATGGTGAAAGTCATGAAAAATAACTTGCTTACAACTTCTTCTCAACTTATTGTCTATAACTCTCCCCATATCATTTTAGACAGATTTTAAAAAGAATTAGAATTGGTTTATACAGTGTGCCAAATTAGATTAAAATGTGAGTTCTGAATATTGTTTAGAGTGAAAGCTAAGCAGGGCCAGCTCTATTTAGTACTTTTGAGGGAATAAGAATAGAATAGAATAGAGGAGAGGAGAAGAGAAGAGGAGTTGGAAGGGACCTTGGAGGTCTTCTAGTCCAACCCCCTGCTTAGGCAGGAAACCCTACACCACTTCAGACAAATGGTGACCCAACATCTTCATAAAATCGTCCAGTGGTGGAGCATTCACAACTTCTGGAGGCACATTGTTCCACTGATTAATTGTTCTCAGTGTCAGGAAATTTCTCCTTAGTTCCAAGTTGCTTCTCTCCTTGTTTAGTTTCCATCCATTGCTTCTTGTCCAATCTAAACCATCAGGAAATGCTAAGGACATAAGGTAAAGGTTTTTTTAACACCTCCACCCTCCAGATAATGGCAAACTACTTTGACATTGTTGCCAAGAAATCTGCATGGATGTGTTCATGAAGTTGCAAGTTGGTGAATTTGGAAAAGATTCCATCCAATGAGTCAGTATATTATCAGAACCCAGCCAATGTCTTAGTATGTTATATAAAACAAATAATTGTGTACATTTTATTTGCTTTGAGATAAGACGTTATACAAACACAAGAATGTTCCTTCCTATTCTATTTTGCTAACCATATCTTGGGTTATATGAAGTTAACCGTTGTTCATGGAGCAAAAACAGATGAACACTTTGGGATATGGGAAGCTGAGATCAACTGCCAGATGCTTCCAAAAGACATTCAATGCTGTGTGGAAATATCTCATTTCATTTCATTTATTAAATTTCTATGCCGCCCAATCCCGGAGGACTCCGGGCGGCTTACAGAAATGAAAAAAGATTAAAAAGAATTATTAAAAACAATTGGACACAACAAGGTTAAAAAGGGAACACAACAAGCACCCAATCAGGAGGGGGCTGGACCTCAATCAAGGGGTCAACAGCCCCAAGCCTGCCGGAAAAGCCAGGTTTTAATGGCTTTGCAAAAGGCCATGAGAGTGGGTAGGGCCCGGATCTCAGGAGGCAGCTCATTCCACAATATCTAAGATTGAACTTGATGTCTTTTCCATTCCATTCCATTCCATTCAAGGTATGGGTTATGTCACTTTGCTATGCTTCTTCTCATAACTTAAAAAGAAATAAGCTGACCACATTTGCATGAAAACCTTGTGCCTGACCACAATGTGATCCTGGCTGTCACAGGTGATTCCTTGGCTATGTTCTAGATTAGTTAGCTGAGGCAAAAGCAACAAAATACCTTCACATTATAAACCAAGCAACCCGATGTAGTGAATTATACATGATAAATGCTCATTGGATAAAGAATGCATGTGACTTTAATGTGTCACCAGAGCCTTCTCTGCTTTGTTTTAGACAAGTTGTCAAGGATAATGATTTCACATCCCAGGTTCTTTATTACTCAGAAGCATGTTGGGATGAATTAAAATAGACAGCTATTGGCTCAGCAGAGGGACCAATGACAGAATACCTTTGAGGAGTTCAATTAAGGAGTCCTAGAAAATTACATTTCCCAGAGATCCTGATCCCAAGATGATATTGGGATATAAAACTGAGTTTATCCTCTGCCAGTCCAAATAAGAGATCAAATCAGTGAGGAAAACTTGCTTGGGAAAATGAGAATTTCAGATACAGATTTCACTAGTCTTTAAGTTGTTGTGAGCTTTTGTCTTTGAGAAAGAATGTAACATGAATCCATCTTGCATTAAGCGTCATTTTGGAATACGCAGCCTCTAGGAGGCAAGTCACTTCCGTTCCCAACCTTAATCCTTCCCCCCCCGCCCCAAAGAGTTTGCAATCGGGCTGCCAAAATTGCCTCATTTTGCTGCTTAAGCTGAGCAGCAAGGGAGAGACCAAAAAATGAGATGAAGCATCACGTGCAACATGCATTAAGAAAGATGCAGTTTCTCCATCCCTGCCTTAAGCAAGGGAATGTTGCCTTGCCTTTTTAACAGGGTGCACAATTTCTTTGCACAGGGGACACACAGTTTCCATGACATTCATGGGATGCATGTATTCTCAGGCAATGTACTCAAGACATTGTGAAGGAACACAAGGATAACGTGATCAGAGAATGACCCAAAGGTGCTTTTTCAGGAGGCAACTGGACTTTCTTGTTTTTTTTTTTTTTCTTGAAGAAGTGAAGGCATTTCACTTCTCATCCAAGAAGCTTCTTTAGCTCTGATTGGATGGTGGGGAATGGAAGGATTTATATTCCTTGCAGATACCTGGTCATCTGCATCCTTTTAGCAGGTCGTTGATGCACTTGGAAGTTTATCTGGGTCCTCAGAGTCACCTAAGTAGTCCTCCTAGTCCCCATAGTCTGCAGTTTTTGAGACAACCATGACCAGGATGACTGAGAATCTCTAAAGACTATAAGGGAATGATGCTTTTCAATTGGATTGATTCTTGTATGTCTCAAGAGTGGGATCAGTTTTTTTTTCCTTTTTTAAAAACAAAACACAATAATTTGGAGCAAGTATTAAGGAGAAAGTCTCTAAGATCCATCTTTGAGTCATCCTTTATGATATCTACTAGGAAATCTACTAGGGAAAATCAGTGGGATTTCTTTGGTTAGCTTTTTCACATTTATGGGATTGTTGGTGATTTATGAGCTTGGTTGCTTTATTGCGGATGCTTTATTGCCCAACTAGGTAACATCACCAGTGCACTGATGAAATACCTGCAAGAAAACCACCAAGCTGAGAGAGCACCAACCACCCCACAATTCCACCCTGAGATACACATATTCTCTTCTGTTTTTCATATCTAGAATAGAATCAGATTGCTAACGGCATCTATTAGATGATATATCTAATGAAACTAGTGCCTAAATGAAAGGTTGAGGAAAAAAATGGGGAATTATGGAGTTAATGCGTTACAGAAACAAGAACAATGGCCAGCAATTATGAATGAATTTATCTGGATACCAGCTCTCAACTCATCACACTTGAAATTTCTCTCAACTTTTTGTTTCTTTGTCTGTTTTTCAATTGTGTGTGTGTGTGTGTGTGTGTGTGTGTGTGTGTGAGAGAGAGAGAGAGAGAGAGAGAGAGAGAGAGACAGAGACAGAGACAGAGACAGAGACAGAGACAGACAGAGAACTAAATAACCTCAAAGGTAATAGCTTCCACTTATTTCTAGCCCAGTAAGAATCCAAATCTTATGACCTTAAAGGCAAAGACTTCATATCTCATTATTATGGCTCTTCCAAACCAGTGCAGCCTTTTATTTTGAAGAAACTGATTTTGCTGCCTTTATTCTAAAGATGGATGTGCTCAAGGTAAAGGGTTTTTTTCCCCCCATATGGGTGGATGGGAATTATGGATACTTGGGGGAAAAAACTGCAGTCATAAAAGCAAGGCATTCACTCTTCATAATTTCCAAAGCCTTGTTTCCATCCTTTGTGCTTCATAATAATTTCCCGGGAGAATCAATCTCCCATTTGTATTGAAAGTGGCTTCTCAACCAAATTCTGGTTTGCTATGATTAGGTAATTTTGTCTAGTGCATGTATAGAATTGTTTCTGGGGCCGGTGTGCTGAATTCTGTATATTTCCTCATGGGAGTTTTGAACTAAAGATGAAACAATTTGTTCTCGGAATTAGATATGAATGCTAAAGTCAAAACTGAGACTCCAGACCTATTTTGTTATCCATAGGCAAGGCTTTTCAGATTTTATCACCCCTATCCGATAAACTGGGAGTACATAATTATATTTATTTAGCATTTTTATTCCCCATAGAATATGCATAACAGATGTCAGTCATTGAACCAGAGTTGAAGCTATTGAATATTAAATCAAAGGCATGTGGTTGTTGTTGTTTTATAGCAAATATCATCTGTACAGTTTAAGAGGATGAGGGGCAAGAAAAATTGTCCTTGATTTTCTGCGTTCCTATGTCTGGCATGCTCTTATTTAAATATGGAAAAATTCACTCGCATGAGTTTTCATCTGAAATTTCAAATGGGATGTCTCCAACTGACTCAAACCTTTTAAATCATCAATGTCATAGATTCAGGGAGCTTAAAAGAATACCTGTTCCCTCACAACTCTTCTGATAAACTAAAGGAATCCAACAGAGCTCAACACAAATTGGATACCTTCAGATTCCTGTGGCTTGGCTCACAGGCAGGCAATGAGAGGCATGTTTATACCAATGAATCTATGAGCTCCTTAAAAGCCGCCTGCTAGGTTTCCATATCCCCTTTATTTTTTATTTTTATTTTTTTTTTAAAGACAATTTGAATGCAGCAAACAAAAGCACCAGGTACAAGTTTTGTGATTGGCAGGACTTACTTGAAAGATACAGAAGGACCCTGACAGACCTGAACATTGGGCACTATCTAACAAAATGAAATTCAGTGGTGAAAAAAGTAAGGTTCTACATTTAGGCAAGAAAAACAAAATGCACCGTATGTGTGGTACCTTGCTCAATAGTAGTAACTGTGATCTTGGAGTCCTAGTGGACAACCATTTAAATATGAGCTAATAGTGTGCAGCAGTTGCCAAAAAAAGCCAACACAGTTCTAGGCTGCATAAACAGAGGGATAGAATCAAGATCACGTGAAGTGTTAATACCACTTTATAAGGCCTTGGTAAGGCCACACTTAAAAAACAAAACAAAATGGGGAAGAGTATCAACAAGAAGAATGTTAGAGATATGCAATATTGCAAGAATTCCTGTAGCCCTGGAATAAATTAGTAAGACCACACCTAGAATACTGCATTCAGTTTCGGTTCCCACAATGTAAAAAAAGATGTGGAGACTCTAGAAAGAGTGCAGAGAAGAGCAACAAAGATGATTAGGGGACTGAAGGCTAAAACATATGAAGAACGGTTGCTGGAATTGGGTATGTCTAGTTTAATAAAAAGAAGGACTAGGGGAATTCTTGCA